TTGTCCCACAAAATGCATTTTTTGCATTATAATTGTAATTATACAAAAAAAAAAAAGTCAAAATTAATTTTTTATTAAATAGCCTTTATTGTCAATGTATATATAGTAGTTTTACTTGAAAAAAAGACCTTCCTTGGAATGGATCATGATATTTACTTTTATCATTTTGCATATCGTAAATAAAACCAAAGTTCTTATATTTAAGTACAATTTCCTTTTCAATAACTGCATCAAAGCAATCTATAAGGAAATCAGTGTAATTATTTATCCGACTCTTTTTTTTTTACTTAAGTTTTATAAAGCGGTATGAAAACATCCTTGATAAAACCATTTGCTATTAGAATTTTTTTGGATTTATCATTTGCATTTTATAAATAACAGGTTCATATTCAATTTTAAAATTGTCTTTCAATTTATCCATACGACAATAGATACCATAAATTGATTCTGTAAAAAGATATTTAGTGACCAAATATGTTGCTTTTTATGATACTATTAAAAATGGATTATCAAAATTTGTTTGTGATGAGTTTTTATAATTTTATTATTATTTTATTATTTAGTTTTTATAATTTTTATAATTTCAATAAGGTATTTTCCTAAATAATCTATTGCTAACAAAACAAGTTTTGTGTCCATTTATTTTTATATTCTTCAATACTGACTACATAAATAGTTTGACATAGCCTAACAAAAGATTTTTTGAAAGGAAATGAATTTTTTTTTTAATTAGCCTCAATTTATATATTTTGTATAAATATTGCCGTAATATATTTCGGACAATGTATTATCAATCTGACAAAATATTATCAAGGTTTATAATAAACAAAAATGATTTATGGAAAATCTGGAACTGTTTTTTTTTGCTTATCAATTTTTTTATGGTATCAATATTTTCCATATAGGTCTTAATCAAACTCAATCCAACCTGTACCATGACTTGGTTTTGAAGTCATTATAATTTTATATGAATTTTGAAAGTACAACTTTGATGTTAAAAACAGGTTTTATCATTTTACCTTTTTAACATTGTCGCTCAAAGTATGACTTTTATGTCAAAAAAAAAAATCATTTGATCATGTTCAGTGTATAAAAGACTATATATATATATAATAGACAGTCCAAAAAAGTTTTTATACAAAAATCACAATTTTTTTATGTTATTTAAATGGAGAGAAAAGTCTTTTCGAGCGACCTCGTAGGATTGATCAAAAAAGTTCAAATTTGGACGGTTACCTTCTTTCATAATAATTATTGGAAAACATTTTTTTTGGTCAATTTGATATATATAAATATATATTAAATTTATTTTTTGTTTTAAAAAAATAATAAAAATGTATTTTTAGCGTTCGGTATTATCACGAATTCAAATATTTTTGAATGTTTGAATAATTATTAATGTCATTCTTCGCAAACATGTTGTGAAACCGCTTTTTCATTTTTTAAATTTGCTCAAAATTTAAACAGTTATTGAATAATTTATGTGTATTTTAAATAAAAATAAATTATCGAAACAGCAGTTTTTTAACTGTTAAAATAAATCGTTTTATTTTAAAAATAACACTCGTGCTTAGTGAAATAAAACTATCTATTTTCGATTGAAAATTACTGAAATTCTGATTTGTTAAATATGTTTTTTGCTTGTGAATAGATTTAGGAAAATGATTACCGTAAAGGCTTCACTAGTGTAATAGCTTTTGAAAAATTGTCGTAAAAATAAATATACAAGTTTTCCTCAACTATAAATACATATTATCACTAGGGTATATCCTCTGAAATTGTACACGGTGATGTGCCGTAGGGAGAAAAGAAAACAATTGCTAAGTTACTGGTGACATACAAGCCCATCAGCTAAAGGGCCCGTTATTTTGCACGTTTGCAAAACGTTAACCTTATCTCACGGGATCATCAGCTAACGGTAAAAATTGGGCTGTGGGATTTCTAATAAATGGCGTTATCATAAAAACTGGAATTTCGCACCGTAAAAAGTTTTTATATCGCCAAACATGTATGATAGACGTGTATGAGAATGTCCAGAGGGTTTAAACCCCGAAAGGGTTTTAGTCGGATATTTTACTGTAAATGTGCATCTGCGGGGAGAATATAAATTGGGACGCAGGTAGAAAACTATAAAAAAAGGAATACCTTTATAGGAAAACCAACAGCTAGTTGAGATTTAAGGATATGTTTAGGGTAAATAACTCAAATTGGTCTGATAACTTATTTTAATTTCAGTTCGGACAGCAGCATGTAAAAAACTTCAATGCCTTACCTTTATTCACCGCCGGCGAATAACAATACCAGGAAATGTGCACAGTAAATGCCTGACGGCTGCGCAACCTTTTCAGACGGATATTGCAGACGATCTTTACATTAGCAATTAAAAGTCCGCTCACTATTTATTTCAACCGTCTCGCTGATACTCAAATAAACACACGCAATAAATAAAACATGTCATATTATATATGTGTATGCGGAATTTTATTATTCGCGGTAATAAATGTTATGTGCGCGCGCTTTATTGTCAAAGTCCCCTCGTAAAAACTTTTTTCGTTAAATTCATCAGCTCTTGAAGTTGCTGTTCAGCAGAAGAAGCAGCGGCGACGGGAGTTAAGAACGATAAGTAATAAAAACAAAAGAGTATATATTAATTGAAATTATTACGATACCGTGTAATATAAAGTCGATGATATCAACTGGCTGTGAAATCGCATAATTAAACGTATACGCTGATGATATTAACTGCGAAATTGATTTTTTAACTTTGTCGACGGTAATTACTTTTGAGGAAACAACAGTGATCCGCAGTGAATTCAACTTGAAGCCTACGCAACGTTTAGTTATTTTTCAACTCGGCTTGTATTTTCGACACTCAAGTAAACAGTTATTTTTATCCATCGTGGGGTATAAGACTAGTATGAGATAATGTCAAACGACAATAGCATATAGAGGCAGATTGTATTAGTTAAGAAATTCAATCCAAATGGGATTTAGGCGTACACAGACGGTAATCGGCGCACAAAGCTGATATCGATAGCTCACGTCGCATCACTATTGTAATCTGCTGCCAGTAACTTACAAATCCTTTTTACTGCAATCCATTACGTTTAAAGTCGACGCGATTCTAGTACAGCGATTCTGTCGTTCCGTATCACTGACACGATGAAATCCTTCGAGTTCGCAAAAATTAAGCCCCCGACTGAAAGAAAAACACTTTAGATAATAGTTATCGCGGAGCAATTCGCGAAAGAGATAATATAAAAAAACAATAGACGCATTTGGGTTTTCAAAACATTCTAGACAGAGTTTACCGACTAATTGAAATGTAAGAGCGAACCAAAGTCATTTGGAGCAATAATGCTTAAATATATAAGAGCGCTTAGAGACAAAGGACTTTTTGATTGAAAAGTTGTGCACAAAATACAAACAATCGAAAGAGTTTCATAAAATTGATTTTATTTAGAATTCATTTTCAGAATTTACATTTTTATAAACTTTTTATTATATTAATAAGAAAACTGTAAAAAAATTAAATACTTTTATGGTATTTAAACTAAAATTAAGTAGAAGATTTTATACATTTGCTACCTTGATCCTGAAATGATTTGCGACATATTTTTCGTAATAGTAATTTAAAATTACTATACTAGTATATTAAAATAATTATTTACACTTTTTTGATCGATCACTGTGTATTTTAAGTTTTTTTATATAGAAATTTAAGATATACAAAATACTAAAGAATCTTTAGTTTGTATTATAGTCTTTGCTTTTGAAATAGATAACATGTGTATTGATTACATATTAGATTTTTTTTAGTAATATTTTTTAATATTGATTGCGAAAAAAAAATCAGAAATCTATTTAAAATACTGAAATTTAGAAAAATAGCGAATGCAAAAATATAACGAAATTGTATATGTTCATTATCAGAAGTCAGTAATAGGTAGTAAAGGTAATTTATTACTGACTTCTTAGTAGGTTTAACGTACAATACATGTTTAATGATTGAGATGTATATCGGAGGGTTGGCGCTAGGGGTGTGCCGAGTGCGACTATGTGCTTTATGTAAATTAACTAGTTGAACAAAAGAAGTTAATTTTTTTACTAAAAATAATATTAAAAGACCGCAAAATTATTACGTACGCTATTTCTCCGCGTTTTCTAACACTGACCCTGACGGGCACTGATATGACGTGCAAACAGAGGCGCCTGGTGTTTAGTACGGCGGGACGATCGCATCCTCTACTAAAATTTATTAAAAGATGAAAATTAATTGTATTTTCTTAATCCTACATTTTTATTAAAAATTAACATTTTTAAATAGTTATGATACACTTGTCGGGTACACTTACACACGAGCAGTGATGGGACGACCGACAGCGTCGTCCGANCACTTACACACGAGCAGTGATGGGACGACCGACAGCGTCGTCCGAGCAATATGCAGAAACGTTTATTATGAGCGAGGCGTCCATTGGTGTGCGTGCCGGTACAGGTCAGCTGTATTCTTGTGTACGGGTTTTGGACAACCGTCAGCGTCGTCCATACGGTAAATTATTACTACATTGGGTAATTTATTTTTAGAACTAACTGCTTGTCGTTATCGGTTGCTAAAATAGTATAATCCGCTACTATTATTATTTAATTTCTATTTTCTACTTCGACCTTTAAAATAATAATAATGTGTATTTTATTATATTTAATTTGACAATTTTTTATACTTATGACTGACGGTATTATATTTTAGTCGCATCCCCACCACCATCCGCCACTGCGTGCAACACTATGGAAGTTTCTATTTTAAATGACATTTTTAGGACTCTCATGATTTTTCATCATTTTTGTTGTATCAGTAAAATGTTATCAAGTGAGAAGTGTTAAATAGAAAATAGGAACAATACTTGTATATTATGTTATTGAAGTAACAATTTGAAATAATGTTTCGGTAAATAAAAATATTTATGTGATGCATGTTGAATAGATAGGTTGGTTAAATAAGAACCATAAGATTCATTTGTGGTTTTATAAAGACTTAGTAAAAATAATCGAGTGTTATTGATGGTTAATTAATTTTTATTAGTGATTTTTTGTTGGCGTCTAAAAATAATTTTGCGATTAAGGATTCTCAAGTTGGAAATGTTATATCATAATGTACTGTTTCTAAATAACGTATTTTCGTGTAAGCAATTCACTTCTTTAAATTACAAAATGTACACACAGCATAAACACACTTAATTGTCCAGTCGATTTCAATATCGTTGAAGATTTGTTGATAACCGTTTTGTAAACCCAGTCGCGGTAATTATAGACAAACAAATGTCTAGTCTGCACGGAAGAACTACCGCATTCAATTACTCCATCTGGCAGTTCATAATTAAATCCGTGGCTGGCTATGCCATACAGATATCCTTTGCAGATCATCGGACCCCCACTGTCTCCTGGGCATATCATTGACTCGTCAGGAATCGAACACAAGTATTCCGGCCACGTCAAGGGTATATCGTAGCTTTTTGAAAATACATAGTAAACTTAATAAATATTATGAATTTAACCTTATATGGTATGAAACTTACTATTCAGAATGTTTACATGCTTTTGGACCATACTTTACCACAACTTTGGTTATGTACCCCACGCTGCCCGTCTCGCCGTTCTGCGTCTGCCCAAATCCCAACACGTCGCATTTCAGTTTCGTGTCGTTAAGAAATTCCGCCGGATGTCCGGAAAGTTTTATGAACCGATGAACATTTTCGAACGGCTTAGATATCTAATCATAGAATTAAAGAATTATGTAGAATTATTGATGAGATTTAATAAACCAAAACCCAATTTACATATGACAACCTATTATGTCCTATTCCATATTCAAATTAAATTTTTATCACGGAATGAAACCGATTGAATTGTTTGTGGTTTCGATTTAAAAATATTATAAGTTTCTGATTCGGTTTTAGAAACCATTTATATGTATATGATTTTGATTTTGGTTGCCGTTAGAAAACTCGGAAAAAAATTGGTTTAAACTGCTTTTTAGAAAAAACTGTTTCTAATTTCATTTGTAGAAACTGAAAGTATTTCGGTTTCGTGTTTCGGCTTGAAAATTATCGATTTCGGTTAGAAAAACCGAAATAATTAGTTTTTTCCAGTTTTCAGAAAACTGGTTTAACAGTCACTGATTTTTATCTGGAAAAAAGGTTTGAAAATTGAATTATTCTGAACTATTATTAAAAACATTCACTTAATCAATTGTTATTTTGGTAAAACATTTTTATGATAAATTTAAAATCTGAATTGCATTGGTTATTGTTTCATCAAAACCGAATATTCAATAACAAGTAGCATTATATATGGAATATCAGTTTAAGTAAATAGAAATTGAAATTAAATTTTATCCTTTTCATTTTATTTATACTNAGCATTATATATGGAATATCAGTTTAAGTAAATAGAAATTGAAATTAAATTTTATCCTTTTCATTTTATTTATACTTGAAAATTAGATATTTTATGAAACAGAACCATAAAAAAACATAAAATATATAAACATCTCGGTTATTTACTTAATGTATAAATTTCTTTAATGGAACTGTCAATTTCAATTATAAAACACAATAAAATAAAAAACAACAATAATATAATTTATCCTATAACTCAAGCGGCCTTTTTGTTAGTAGAATAATGTCGAAATGATAAAATTTATGTATTAAATTATTACATGTAATATTAATTTTTCTAAGACTTTATTACTTTTTTCATTCATAAATTATGAAAATTTTCAATTTACCAGATAAATAATGCGCAATTAGTCGACCAAAATATTATTACGTTTCATTTTATAATGTCAATATAATTTAATTTAAACTTACTCGGACAAGACTGATATCTGCATGCATTGTAAGCTCGTTATAAGCTCTATGATTATATATTGTGTGAACAGAACGATATGGAATTTGACGTGAAACGGGACTTCCGTGGTATACCTAAAGTATTATCTAAGGACAGTTGTGCGAATAGATTTTATAAAATTTGATGCTATAAATGTTTAGGATTTACTCTAATATTATAAGGTTTTTTTTTGTGAAGACAGTGGGCAGCTGTCAGTACAAATACAGACGATACTAGCGAACCAGTGCAAATACTCGATGAACCAATACTTGTTTGTATTCTCAGGCCAACTACGTACGGATAATCCATAGGATCAAATGGCTGACCACTAGCTATTGATTGCTTTTTGGTTTCTACATGAAGTTCTGATTTGGCTACCAAAGAACTGTTGAACGCAAATATAAATATTAAAAAAGTAAACATTTTAAAATTAAGCAAATAATGAAATGTGGCCATTACAACAGGAAAGTTGATTTCTATAAACCAGTAACTAAGCAGTTAATTACTTAAATATGATTATTAATATCGTAGTTTTGGAGGTTTAAATAAATAAATTTTATTTACAGAAATGATTTTCATATTAAAAATCATTAAATTACATTATTGTATTTCACTGATATGATTGTCAAGGAGAAAATTGTAATTGAATTCGTGTCTAATTTTTGTTGCACGAGGGAAACAAAGTTTCTTAACGGTACTTTGGATGGCTGAACTACAAAATATTCAAGAAGTTAACAACGCAATGTTTAATTAAATATAAATATAAATGTAAATGTATATAGTTTCTCACTTCATTTTTGTAGTAAATGAAGTACCAAATATTTGTAAATAACAGCTTTACGATGAAACGTTGTTATTCAAAAATTTAGTCGATAATTAATAATACGTGTAAATATGTTATGATCTATTAAAATATTTATATGAAAAATTAAATAATAACATAGTAATAAATAAACATTAATAGTATAAATTCTTCTATAAGATATTTCAATTAGGTAATATATTTAAGTATTTTCAAATGTAGCATTACTAAAAATACATCCTAAACACATATCTGTAATCATTAATATTAAGAAAATATGCTTTTAAAAAAACTGAATAGTAATCTAAATACTACTGAATGACTGTTACATATTTTTATATCATTAATTTGTTTAGTTATTAGTATTTATAAACAAATTTCCTTACAAATAGATTTTTTTAACAGTAAAGTCGAGTTCTATTATTTTTTTTAATTTTTATGGTTTTTTTTTTTTAAATTAATACTATATATTTATTTCTTGAACAGATATTATGATATAATTCAAACAATGACGTATCTGAAGTAGAAATTTATATAAAAATATTTGCACAGGAGAGGAAAAATAACCCACTCACTGACATTTTGTTTAGTCAATTTTCATAATCGTTGTATTATAATACATTTTGCAAAATAATTTTGTTTTTAATAAAAAATTATAAATTTTATCTACTTTTATTAAATTATATTGTAAATGTAAAGATTAAGAATATTGTTTTTTAAAAGTTAATGACATTTAGGTTTGGTTTTTATTTATTAAATTTATAGAAATACTTAATTTGATAAAAAAAAAACACTACATAAAACTAACAAAAATGATTTATTAATTTTTTTTTCCTGCCAGGCCAACAAGCAAATATTAGAATAACATTTTTGAGAATGTTAATTTTATTGATACCCTATTCTAAAAAATTCTATACAAGTATATTATAGCGTTCGTCATTTTTAAAAAAATTTGTGGGGCTAATTCGTCAATTGAGGGGTTTTTTGTTGCTTCTCCAAAACAGTGAGGTTCCAAGGTCGCGCTCTCCGATTACCATTCCCCCTTTAACGCGAAGTCTATTAAATGGTGGTGACTGAAATCAAATATTTAAAAAAATATTGTGCCCCTCTATAAAAGAATTTTTAGAGACCGTTAGGCCGAATAGATAATGCGGCATTGTTTGACGTGCACTGCCTCGGGTTTGAAACTCAAACACGGGCGGCTTCATTTGCCGAACAAGTGATCAGTTTGCTAGTTGGAGTAACCGCCCGTCCTGGAATCCAGTGGTTAAGAAAACCTCCCTAAAGGGTAGGTCACTACGGGCCTTTAATGGGTCTGGAAAACAAAAATGAAAAATTTTTGAGGACGTCCTTGCATTCAAATTTCCGTTAAGAAACTTTGAGTCTAAAACGCTATAACGATTATAATTCATAGTTTTTATAATTAAACGAAATTGCAGTTTCTACTTTATAATTTAGAACTAAGGCGATGAAAAATCAATTGTTTTTACGATATACTATAATTTTCTTACTAATATAAAATACAAATGATTTAAAAAATAATTTGTATTATGATGAATTTTAATTTAAAAGGAATTCCGTTGATTATGTTTCAGGCAATATCTTCAAAAGTATAAAATAAAGTACCAATTTTAATTTTTAGAAGTAATTAATATCCTATACGTGCATTCATTGATACTAAAAAAGTTCCTATCCGTTCTCCTTAAATTTGTATCAATTAGTTTTTTTTTAACAGGAAAAATATGTTTAAACAACTTAAAAATGACCGAAAAGGATTAAGGGATGAATTAAAAAAGTAACAAATAACTGATAAATTAAAAAATATATTAAACTAAAAAATAACAATCGTAAATTTCTTAATATAACTATTGTTTTAAGAGAAATCGAGTGTCTAACGATAAAAAAATCACATTTTGTTTTAAAATTTTATTAATTAATTAATTAATTAAATAATATTAAAATAAAAATATTATACTTTTAACAGTAATATTAACTCTAATTAATAGCCATAATAATAATAATTTATAATATACGCTAAAATGATGATTGACGTTGCAAACATGGTATACAAGACGTCCCTTCTGATTGAAAAATACTTTTGCTCTTTTTAAATTTATAGCCTATATTTGTATAATTATATCTTAAATGATTTCCGAATGCCGCATCAAATAAATCCTCAAGGTATTTCATATAACTATATTTTGTAATATTTTTTTTATTTTTATAGTTATTATATTCCAATTTCATTCCTTTGCCGAAATCATTAGGTATTTTAAACTTTTTATTCTTTAATTCAATATCATAAAATGTAACGTTTTGAGGAAATTCAATAACAAAATTTTTCAGTATGTTAAGAAAATTTTTCATGTAGAATTCATTTTCTATGTTATTGTAAATAGAATCAAGTTCATCTTTACAGATGTTAACTGTGAACTGTTTATCCGGTTCATCATTAGTCGTAAGTTGTTTTGCCACTTCGAGAAATTTATTTAATACGGGAAGAATAAAAGTGCTCACTTTTTCTTCTGAAAGATTGTCAAGGAATTCTATTACCCTGATATAATGTGTGATAAAAACGATGGATTTTTTAATTATTATTTTTAACGATTTAATACTGTTTATAAAAGAAAAATCGATATAAGCTTTAGGGAATAGTAAATAACATTCACCTATGACTTGCATTAAGTAACTATAAATCGACTTTAAAACGTTTGCGTATTTATAATTTATTAATAACATAACTTGTGGATATTTTACTTCAAAGTCAGTAGTACAAATTTCATTTTTTCTTTCTGGATCACCAATTATGTCGTCTATCGTGTAGGTTGTAGATCTTGGATGATCGTACAAAATGTTTTCTTTAATTTTCCATAAACTGTAGTCCTCCAGTATGAAATTAAGTATATTGCATTTTTTTTCTTTGGTATATTTCTCTGATGATATTAGTATGGGAAATACAAAAAAAAACTCCAAAGCTCTAAAAATGTTCATAATTTGTACAATTAAATGAGATTGTAGTTTTTGATGAAATGAGACTGTATAAGTTATTAAAATTAATAATGAAAATAGTGTTATTTTTGCATTAAAATATAGATAAAATCTGAATTGTATGGAGAGGATCTAATATTTGTGTTTAACGTCGCACAATTTTTATTTAAGTATAAAAAAAATGTTATTTATAGTATTTTTTTTTTTATAAAAATTTGACATTTATACCATATATCTTAGTTAAAAATAAATATTATACAAAGAATTACAAATAATTATATTAAAGCGATTAAGTAAAAAAAAAATACTAATAAATTAATTTTTACAACAAAAGATCAAAATTAAATGTATTGTGTATTGAAATAGATATAATGAACCATGTTTAAGAAAAATTTATCTAATCAAAAATAAATGATTATTTTAATTCTCCAATATTTGAGATTTATACTTCTAAACTTGAGTAAATTCGTCATATATATATTTTATTAATCAGAAATTATTTTAATGCGTTTTTTATTCTTATAAATTTAAATGAATATTTAATATTTTTCATTATAGGGAAAATTAGGTGTTTTGTAACAAACTAGTAATGCTGTTCACATTGATATCTAGACTTTGAACTGATTTTACGAAATATTGCCAAAGCTAACAAATATCATAACCCCTTCAAAGTTAATTAGATGCACATTTTTGAATTTACACTTGTTTATTTTTATTTAATATGCATTTTAAATATTAAAAGGCTATTAATATAACTATCTGGATCGACGATTTATGTCGCAAAGATTCGTATACTTACTATATTTATATAGTTATAATAAATATGAGTAATTTTGTATTTAGTTTAAATATTTATAACTTTTTTTTGTAAAATAACAAGTTAATATAAATACGAGAAATTAGTAGCGAGGAAAGGCGCTCACTAAGATTTTATGGCTATTTACTATTGTTTTCTAACATTTTCATTGAATTTGATTCTAAAATAAATTCAGAATTTCATAATGAAATAATAATATTATTGGTAATAATACATTAAAAGAATAATCAAAACGTTATAACACTATTTGTATATAATACTTTTGTATCGCAATCAGAAATAAATAACAGGCGCACAGTATTGTACCAGTACAGGCAGTTCTGGCTCGGTAGCTGCCACTTGTACCGGACTGTCACATGTCTGCAATGATAGCGTTGTGTCCATACCGACAGATCAGTACTGGAGATTTTGTATAATCAGTATTAGATCAGTGTTCGCCAGCAATAGCAGCCAAGCACTGACCGCCAACAGTGGATTAGTACTTCGGCAAGCCAGACTATGCTAGTATGGGTTGGCCACAGTGGTCAGTTGACAGTACCGTTGCAATACTTCACCCGCTGTCAATACAAGTACTTAAAAAAAATGTATTTTTCAGCATCTACTTAGTGATTAAGATAAGCTTCTAAATTTGATCACAAGTCGACAACATATTCACTGCACATGAAAATTGATTTAAAGATATTTTAAAACGGATGATAGAGAAAAATATCTTTACTCTGCTCTTGAAATTGACACTGAAAATACCAATTTTAAAGTAACCTAAAATATCATATTAGAATATCATTTAAATTTCACTTAGTATTTACTAGAAAAGTAAGAAAACAACTTTTTATAGATAAAATTATTTCATATTAGAAAATGATGAATATTAGTTATGAGGCCAACATTTCTTGTATAATAACGAAAAAACATTTAATTTATAATGTTTGCTTTGTGTAGTTTTTTTTTTAATGGTTTCAATAAGAAAGTTAAGTAAAAATTGACACATAAATTATACAATAATGATTTTAATACAGTTATCTTGATATTTTCTCATCTGTAAATTTCGATTATTATTATTTATATTATATACGATTGCTAAATACGCGTTTCTTGATTGCATCAAATAAATACAACAATTTAGTGTGTCTTTGAATAATTATTTGTTATTGGCGAAGCGTAGAAGACGAAGTATTGATTTTTTTCTAAACCCTTCACTGTTTCACAACTCTGCGTTGTTTCCATTTAAACTGTATAATTCTATACCATTAACATTTATTTCGCTGCA